ATATATTAGTATGAGTACATTACAATATAAATTTATTAGAACGAGTACATTATTATTTATGGGCTTAAAAACAAGATGCAAACAATCAGAATATTTTACCTGGTGGGGAGTGCACAATGTAAACATGAAACATATGCCATTACCTATATTGTACTGTGGTACAGTTATGGAGGCCCTTCATAATGCCGAGGTCAGCTGCCTGCTCTGCCAATAGTTAGAAATGGCACTATAGTAAGCAGTGTTTAATAAACAGCTGTTTTACTAAATTCTGCTTTGGTGAAATTCAGTGCAGTCCCGTATCGTGATACATATCGTATCGTGGCCTATGTATCGTGATGCGTATCGTATCGTGACTTTGCTGGTGATACACAGCCCTAGCATGAACTCACTTAAATTTGTGCAGTTTTTCAAGACATCTTGAGTAATTCCTGATTATGTTTAGATATTTGTATTGGAAAACAAAAATATGAGAAAAATATTCCGTTTGCAATGCATGAAACATTTAATGCCATGCCTTTATGAATTTAAGACTTTCTGCTCTAATTTAAGACCTTTTATGGGGCCGTTCACATGTCGTGCCTAAAAACGCATGGAAAACGCTAGCCGCGCTGCTTTCTTCTTCTTTCCAAAGCACTCGTGCGCTACCGTTGCGTCTGCCGTTGCTAAGCAACCATGACCTGCACTGTCCATGACAACGCGGAAGTTTCAGCAAAGGATAAATGGATTTCCAGCACTGAAAATCGCTTGCAGAAGCTCTGCTACTAAATTTACACTAAATTTATTTAAAAATGGCTATCCCTGTACAGCTATGATCAGCTGTTCCTCCATCTTGGCTGAGCTTTCAATGTTGTTATAGAAAGGGTGAAGGTGATTGGTTGGTTCTTGTCACATGACCTGTGGTGCGCTTGCAGGATTCTGAAAAGTTGAGTTGTTTTTATCTCGCTGCGGTGTGGACGCGCCTGGAAAAAACGAGCACGTCGCACTGCGTGCACATTTGAAATAACGAACTTGAACGCGCAAAAGACGCGATATGTGAACGGCCCCTATTAGGGTAAATAAAGACTTTTGTGCAGAAACCCTGAAGTGTGCTTTCTAGAACTGATGCATTAGTGCACTAAAGCAAAGATGTAATATCACAAAACGCGTTTTAATCCCACCTGGCATCCAGAAAGCGTGAGCGCAGTATCATGACCGCTTCACAGGTACTCTGTTTAAGCTGCGTCTGAATGGAGCTGAACTTGCGGTGGATGATGGCCACCATGCGCTCGATCTCACGCGGAGACACGGGCCGGGTGCGAGACTGCTCCCTCAGCAGGTTCATAACATGGGTAGTGAACTCACTGCAGGCCTGGAAACAGCAACGAGGTTAGAAAGCAGTTCCTTTCTGTCTGAGGACACTCAGAACCTGTGTCTTCCTATGTTAGACACATTTTTGTCCTCACTCAAAGAAAAATGCTGTGCAAACAACAGATCAAGATGTATTTCAAGCTCAATAGAGTGCAACAGTCAGGTTCCAGAAGTAAGAATCTCATTCATTTTCTCCATAGAACAACTGATTTTGAACAATAACTTATGAACCATTAAAGTGAGACCTACTGTGAACTATGAGATTATTAATCATTGGAATACGCTTTCGTTGATTCAACTAATTTTTTTATATAATCGGAATTCCTGATGAAAAACTAGATTCGCCTCGCAGCTGGTTGATTGGTTCATTTCTTTTTAACTCAAACTTTTTTTTTTACTTTCACTTTTTTACGTGAAAAAAATGACCAATGAGATTTTGCTGTGGGCGTGGCTACCCAGCACAATGGCAGCGATATGTACCTGTTCGTATTTTTCCATCTCTGTGTGGTAAATGTTCCGAATTTGGCTCAACTTGCTTTTATAGTCGGAGTGCTCCAGTGAGCTGTCAGGTGACATCCCGCCAGAGCTGGTCGCGGCAGAGACCGCGGCGGCGGCTCCGCCCCCCTTCTCTGGACCGGCCACACCTTCGGCCAGCAGCATGTTGTCCAATCGCACGAGCTGTGGGTCTGGAGGCTCCTCCTCCTGAGCATTTCTCATGGAAAGACCTGCAAATAAGAAATTAATCCATTAAAGGATTCATCCGTTCATTGATTTTCAAGCAGCTTTGTATTGTTACAATGTCGGTAGTATAAGTAAACAAACATTGTGTATTGTTTTTATATGTTGCCTGCACCAAAAAAAAAATAATAATAAATAAATAAATCACTATTTATTTGTCAGCAAAGGTCTGCCGTATTACAAGTTTTACAACTTTTATGAAAACTACAGATTGTACTTTCACATTTTTGTATCCCTGATTAATGGATAGTCTGATCGAACCCAGTGCATTATGGGTAATGAAGTTTTTACATGTTTTTTTTTTCACCACAGCCCTTTTCCTCTAGTCATGTACCATGATCAAAAAATAAAAATTACCCCTTTAATATTTACCATATTGTGTTTACATTTAATAATGCAGATGGCCTAATTGTACAACACTGGTATTAGTACTTCAAATGTAAGAAATTTTGCTTATGAATAGTATGCATCAAAATAAAACACATTAATAAATATAACAAAAGCATAATTTCACAAATTGTACTGTAATAACTTTGTTTATTTACATTTACATTTAGTCATTTAGCAGACGCTTTTATCCAAAGCGACTTATGAAGGCAATACCAAATTATTTGTCTATGTTCATGCTGAAAACTACTTCTGAGTTATTAAAATTTAAAACTGAGAGAAATAAGATATTCAAGACCCATATTTCTTAAAACTAAATTTAGGTTAACTTATTTAAAACCCTTTTCAAGGGTGTCAACACTATATCAATTTTCTCAGAGGAGTAGAAATATTACAATCCATTATGTTTGATACTGTGATGGCAGTCAATGACCTACAAGATAAATATGAATTTGAATTCATTTTAATTTATTCCCTGGAGCAACACAAGGTTAAGTGCTTCAGTAAAGGGCAAAACATTAAGCAGGATGACTCATTTCGACAGTTCCTGTGTCATCACTGCTTAACATTGCACCCACCCCCTAAGTACTGCTTTATTCTATTATACATAGTCTGATTAGGAGAGATTTTATTTTTATTTATTTACTTTACAAAATGTTTCAATACAGCACTGTGCAATAAACAGTGAACAGTGCAGGGCAGTACTGTATGATTAATGGCACACAGCATGCAATACCACGGGCTGTAAGAGAGCGTGCCAAACCACGGAAATTAAAAGACTCCATTAGGCACAATGCCATTTAATTACTAACCATCACAGTAAACATTCCAGTCCTCTTATGGGACTTTCTAAACTTAGTCTTCATACAAACCAAAGACATTGCGCAATTATTAATAGTGCAATTCTTGCATGCAAATAATAGGATGCTGCATGTATATAAAAAGGTTTGTGTTAATATACTGGACGGTTATTTAGCTTCTCAAACAAGCCAATTACGACTTTATTGTTGTACTGATATCCTAATGCATGCAAATAAGGTATCACATGCAAAAAAAATAGGGTTTGAGATAATATTGCTAAAATAGTGCTGAGAAAAATTTTCATTTGGTATTCAGGAACTGCAAATGTGGTCTTCAGACAAACCAGAAACCATTTGTTATTGGCGTGCTTATTGTGCTATTTTTTAAAATGTAATGCATGCAAATACTAACTCATAATCATCATACATATCATACCATACTGGTAAAAAAAAAAAAAAATGTATAGCCTGAATGCACTGTAAGTCGCTTTCGATAAAAGCGTCTGCTAAATGCATAAATGTAATGTAAATGTAAATGCAAATAATTTAGAATAACAAGCAAATAACACGGTCTGAGACTGTTTTTTTGGTATAAGATGGCTATTATTTGAGAGCAACTTCAATTTTTAAAAGCTGCAAACCTGGTCAAACCCATAATCATTATGCTATTGTTGAGTAAAAAGTGCTGTTTTAATATTCAAACCATGCAAAAATGCATGCAAACGACAGGGTTTGGGAATATATTTATGAACTAGAATAAAATATAAACGAATATTAAGAAAAAAAAACGTTAAAATGATTGTGTTTTTATGAGGTGTACAGTGTACACACTCTGGCTTTGTTCTTGCAGAACATGGCGCCTGTGCCGAATCCTATGCCAACTTTTAAACCAATTATAAAGTTGCAGTTATGATATTTACCACTTCTAAAACAAAATGCATGCCAGTTACTCACCAGTTTTCTCTTTAATTTCGCACAGGACGCTGAATAAAGCCGGTTTCATCCGATGACAGTTTAAAGCGTGTTTTCTGTCACAAAATAACAAACAAAAGTCAAGTTAGCTAACTTTAGCATGCCACCGATGTAACCCTGACAGTAAGACTCGCGTTAAATATATAACGTAAAAGGCTGAAATCGCGTTGCTAGTGAAAATAAAATATTTCACCACCTCACATTTTATATAAATTCGATTGTTTTAACGTATTAAATACTCAATACCTATTTCGATTCTCCTGACACATTAGACTTTAGCATGATTTGTGTTTTTGTCAAATGAATAAAAATAAAGTTACTCCTGTAATAAGATAAATAAAAATAAATAGATGTATGTATATCTAATAGCGAATCATTATTTTGCTACGTATATATTGCAAAATGTAAGAAAAAGAGTTTGTTTGAAGTCAAGAAAAACGTAAACAATAGCAGCTAAGCTAAACCCGTGAACTTCAGCACACATTCTAATAGTTGTTTTAACAGTAATAACTTTTTATATTTTAGGTCTTGTTAAATCAAATAAAAGTGTATTTGAGTGGATTAAAGGCTAAATAATGTAATAAAAAAGGTTAGATAATACATTATTCTATGTTTTAGCATACCCTTGTCTCACGCGACCGTTAGCTCAATGCTAAACTTTAAAGTTTTCAAATAAATAATTTTAAATAACTCACTTTGCTTGCGCTTCGTCTAAACTTTGGTTGGTAATCGTCATGATCTGTTGCAGGATATCTCCAATGTCTCGGCGGTTGTCGTGTCCATTTTCGGTGCCTTCGAGGCCCGCGGGGTCTCCTTCGGGGCGGTGTCGAGAAGGCGGGTGCACCGGGTTAAGGGGATGCATTCCAGGGTGGACGTTCAACCCGAGACCGCGGCTTGCACTGGGCCCGTTGCCTGTGATGGGCTGCTGTGGCTGCAACATCCTGAGCAGTACATTAATCTAGATGAGTGTGTGTGACTGTGAGTGAGTGTGTGTCCATGCATCACCACGCTGGAGTCCCCTAGCGATTGGCACATAAAAAACGTGCCCTTGCATGGAAATAGACATTTTGCAAATGCAAAAGTCAAAGATATGAGTACATTGTGATCACGCAGTCTGTTGCATGGGTCAAAAACAGTATGAAAACACACAGAGGTGAAATTAAATGAAACCTCATCTAACCAAGTCCATGAAACGTGGATTTATGCTTCCAGGAAAATGTAGCCTAAATGCACAAATATGGAGAACTTCAGGGTCTTTGTGAATAAATCTCACAAAACATGTCAGGAACGTGTTCAGTTTGCATTTCATTCTGAAATCTAAAGGGAAAAAATACCGAAATAAATGAAAAGTAAATGTAAATGTGATTATGCTTTAATGTATGCCAATTTAAAGAAATGATATGAATTATAAGTGGAATTAAAAATGTATTCAAAAAAGTAAAACATCCAGATGATTTAGATGGAAATGGTACACTCTAAAAAATGCTGGGTTAAATACAACCCAGTGCTGGGTAAAATAGGGACAAACCCAGCAATTGGGCTGTTTTGACCCAGCGGTTGGGTTACTACCCAGAAGGTTGTAAACATTTAACCCAA